GTATTCCTGATCACTGTTAATGACACATTCTTATCTTATTATTTCTGTTGGCTGTGGTGTGTAATTAACAACCAACTTTCCATCGGTCATGAGGAAACACCCTGGTTTGTCAGAAGAAGTGAGCCATTCCCTTGGATGTATATCACTTTCGAAAGGTATTTCTTTGAACTGTCTGCCATGGTGTTTTTTTTTCATTTCTAACTAGCTCTGAAATGTATGGAATGATATGTGTTGTGGCGTCTATTGAAAGGGTAACCACCAATTCCCCACTGCTATGAAAGTCTGCAGTGGGGAGGGATGGTTGATGGAATTAAAAGCGTATGAGAAAATTCTTGGCAGAAAATGCGGACGTTCTGGTTCTGATGCTACCTGAACAATTAAGGATGGGCCTGATTCTCGGGGTGAGTTCTTAGATAAGATTGGTGCTCTTTTCAGATCAAGGGAAATATAATTTCATTGTACAGCACAGGTCACAGGGTTTTACAAAGAAATGCAACATTAGTCGTGTAATACTACAAAAGCAAAACAAGAGAAATACTCTAAAAACACAAAATCGCTTTGTTTCTTCAAACAACGACACTCATTTGAGTGTGCTGTCAGATTGATTAAAGAGGACATATTCTGTTCACTTCCAGGTTTCATATTCTAATTTTATGAATACAAATTAGAATTGAGAGTTATGTCTCCATGCTCTAATGTTCAAAGAGCGCTTTATTTTTCTCATCCTGCCTGTGCTGCAGCACCTCTTTTCACCCTCTGTCTGAAACCAGAGCGCAGTCTGCTCTGATTGGTTAGCTTGCCGACTGTTGTGATGGTCAACTGTTAAGAGTTGTTTTAGAAATGTCCCACCCCTTAGCCTATCATGTACAATGTGTTGGTGCGCTGGCTAATAGAAGCTCTAGTGTTACATAGTGATGTCACTATGGTGCTGTTTACACGAGAACGCAAACGTTTGTATCCGCTACTTTTCTCTATCGTATAGCCCGTTCGTTCACATGAGGCCGTAACGGAAACGCGGAAATGGACTCCTCAAACTATAACGGGTCCCAAGGTGGATAGATCTGCAAACGGAACGCTCTTGGGGGCCAAACAGCTCTTTGTGTACGTTCTATACGATCATTTCCTGATAACGATGAAGCTATAGCCCCACCTTTGCTGCTCACTGCTGTAGCATGGACAGTTGCTACTGTCAGTAGCTACTGCTACTGACCATGCCTCAGATGTTAGTGCAAAATCTACAGCTCCTCTACCACAACCATCAGCAACAAGTAGACATGGAGAATTACATGAACTACATGTTGATAAATCCACGCGGGGCATAAACAGAAGGGCAACCATGGCAACCATGATCGGGGGTCTTCTTCGCTGCTTTTGGTGTATTTTGTGGCGGAAGTACAGCGCCACTTACAGGCCCGGCATATGTACTACAGCGTGTCCAGCGCTCCCGAGCGGTCTCGTGTGAACGGAATACTTTTTTGATATCGTATTCAGTTCGTTTGCGTTTCGTATGCGTTTGCGTGTAAATGGGGTCTATGTTACTGAAGTAAACAAAGGAGTCCAATGGAGGCATTTCAGGCAGGGAGGGGAGTGTGTGGAGGGAACACAGGGATTTTAGCCTTTGCTGACCATTTGCATACACTAAAACATATAGAACACACTACAGGAAAGGAAGACTCAAAAAAGTACAATAGGGCCTCTTTAAATAAACCCTTAATTAAAAAATTGGAGATGAGTGAAACATTGACTTTGCTTCAGCACTACTGCATGACTGATGCTCTTGTGGAACACGGCCCTCAAGTGCAACAGCCCAATCCAGATTGCTCATTTGAATAGTTAAATAATGATGTCCCAAATATGCAAAGTATCTAATGAAAGAGCTACTTTTCATTGAAGATGGTTGTCAATAATGAGCTAGTCACTAACTTTGCCTGTCTGCTGTTGGATGCTGGGCAGAGAGCATACAGTGGGCTCTTTTGTTCTCAATACAATCAGGCTGATGAGAGCTGCGAGACTCAACCTAACCAGAAAAAATAAATGTAAGAAAAACAAAGCAGATTAGAAAGATGCTCAAACTGTCCACTGAGCTTAAATAAAACAGTAGAGCTGGCCAAATTCCTGTGGGTTTGCAATAACAAGGTTTGTACAATGACACTAATGATTATTTACAGTAGAACCTCATATGATGGATGCTTGGATTAGCACTTGACATACACAAATAAGTCATGCTTGTCGCAGGATGAGTGATTTGGCATTTCAAGACCCATTGTTATTGCGGCTTCTGTGTCTTACAATACCTTTAAACTGCAAGTAAAAGCACATGAAAATGCTTTAGCTGAATATTACCCCTAGAGCAAAGTCTGGTAAAGAGCTTATGTGAGGATAATCCTTTTTGTAGTTTTAAACAACAATACCTTGCAATTTAGTATAAGGCATGCGTAATGATATCATGTACAGACAAAAAGCTTCTGGCATGGAGTTTGTTTTACAACAGTTGGAGAATGGATCAAAGTGTTGTATGTTATTATAAGGGGTGTTTCTTCTCCTTCTTTTGGCAGTCAAACACTTAAAAGGATCCTTCTATAGAAAATGTGAGATCACAAAAGGCACGATCAAAGGCGCCCACCCTCACGGAGAACAGTCAGAAGAATGTCGAGTCGCAGGTGTCAGGATCAGTGTATCCTATAATCTGAGGACGTTTAGTTTTTATCCACTTGTAGGCAGTATCTTACTCTGAAACCTGCACCATTGCTCTTTGAATTTGCCTAACAAGTCACTACCTGCTTGTCACTGTAGCCTGCAGTTACGTGATTCCCTTCGCCTAACCCCAAATGTCGTGTGACAGAGAGCAGGAGACGTCTTGGATCTTTGTGGGAGCAACATGACAGCTTAAAAAACAGGCTCGGTGGCATTCCCTGCAGTCACAGCTTAAATAATTTGTCCCAGACACTTAGCACAGAGATACCTGCAACGCCCTGAAAGGTGCTGTTTTTCCGAGATTTTACCTGACAGCTTTATTAATCATCTTAGTCTTGCCAACAGGAAGCCACCTTGCTGAGAGGGTGTGACGACGGTAAGTGTCCCAGCTGATAGCCAGCATGTATGTTTCAATATTTAAATGTACATTCAAAATGTTCCCTCTTCCGACACATTTCACTTCTTCACTGTGCTTTAACTGATACTCTTTCGAACCCTGGCAGACTTTCAACAAAACCACATGAGAAAGTAAGCTCCTCCTCTATCCCTATTATCTGCGTAGAGAATAAAAGTCTAGACAGAGAATATATTTGTACAATGGTTGCAGCAGATATGAGTACTGACTCCGCTCTGTATTAATAATCCTCACATACTGTCACATCAAGTCAGGCTTGTTTACCATCTTTAAATAATCAGATTAGCAAATATCAGCAAAAATGTACAAAAGTTGGTATTTGAGGAAAAATAAGGTTAAGAAAAATATATCTTATCAATGAAACCCTGTATAAAAATAGTTTTAGATTGAACTGTATCATGCACCTCATACAATTATGTAATGTTAACAAACTGATAAAGTGAGATGTAACCTTGATATTTTTTTTTATAAAATGTTATTGTTTATTCTGCATCAATCTACTACTGATCAAGTAGGACCAGTAGCATATTTAAGATTGTTTTAAGATACATAATGCTGAGTTAGTTGACTGACTTTATGACCAATTTCTCTTCTGTTAAGCCTTTGCATCCCAGCAGCATTTCAAAGGCTGATATTTTGGGATGAGTTCATTTTTAGTTAACAACCAACCTGTGATGTTGACCACCAACATATTATCAGATGTAACTGAAAAATAATAAATTGAAGAAACTTTTATTTAACTTACTCCTCAGGATAATAAACTACTCGTTGTTATACAGACAGTTATACGATTGAAGACAGATGGCACCTATACCTTTTGGTATCTGTGAGAGTTATTCTGACTGATAAACTAATGCATAATCTCAGCTGGCTAGTATGTTTGCAGTTAGCTTGTCAGCTGACTCCCCAAGTAGCTCTACAATTTCATTGGGCAACAAACCTTCTTTCACCACTTTTTTCACGAAGATATAAAAACTTTTTTCAGTTGTCATAAAAACCCACTCTTTTTGGAAAATGTCCCATTAGACCGAAAGCTAATGGGTAATTTGTCCAACAGCCTTTTATCCAGAAAGCTAACATCTAATTGCTCTTACCGTGGCAAAGGACCAACCCTACTCTACCTCTGGTGGCTTACCCTGATATACCCTAACTAAAGTCACTCCTCATACCTACAACTAGCCAACCCACAAATGAAGGCAAGAAGTACCAGCCAATCAGAAGCAGAGTAGGGCGGGTTATGCGTTTGCAATAGTAACATTTAGGAAGCGCAGATGAAGCCATTCTGCATAACTACTAGCCATGTGAAAACCAGACCAGAAAAAAAAAATGATTGTTACAGTGGATGAAGGGGGTGGGGCTGGGGTGTCTAAAGTCAAAGATGAATCTTGATTGGGCCAAATTTGACCCCGAGTGACCCACAACCATTCTGCTGGGTCATCCCAGACCTGAACACCAAATTATACACTTTTTTTTTTAGAGACCTTCAGACTTTTTAGTATAGCTGTTGTGGGAGGATATCATGAAGCCTTGTTCCGATAAAAAAACTAGAGCGCAGTTATTATATAATTTTAACTTGAAACGGGTCACGGGAGACCCGAACACAACATAAGGGTTAAATATGTTCTGTGCAGTTTTGATATCTGCCTGTACAAGTTATCTATGAGAATATTCAAATAATCCAGAGGCTGTGAGCAAGTGATATTGAACGGTACATTTTATTATTGAGAAGATGAAACCTTTGGCCCAGACAGAAACAAACACTCAGCCGAGACTGTTATTGAGCAAGAGGTAACCCTGCACAAAGTGTGTGTTACTTGTGTGTAGGGACAGAGATTTCACATTAATTATAGTACATGCAACCTCTTATTAAAGCACCACTCTAACACACACATACACTCACACAGGTCCTGTCATTGTGTCTCCCCGAACATTCCCTCCACAGCTTCTGGTGCTGCCTGTTTGAAAGCCGCTCAGTAATCCTGGATCAGAGAGAACAAAGGGCCCCAGAGTGCTGGTGATGTAAGCACTGTGTCCACTGCTTGCCCCCCCCACAACTGCTCTCCCCTCTCCCACATGCTGCCTGCCCAGGGGATGAGGTGAGACAGGGAGGAAGGTCCCTGTCGTGGAGGATCCTGAAGAGGCAACCGGTGTTAGCGGCAGGCTAACGGCAGTTTGTGTGCTGTCTCAGGGCCGCTGCTGATGACCTGGGACCCAGTGGGAGAGGAGAACGTTTTGACCGAATCGCTGTACAGGAATGTGGCTAAGCTGTGGGGAGTGGTGCATCGGCTCAGTGTGACCAGCAGAATAGACCAAGGGACTTTTACTGCCTCTTTACTACACTTTCCTTGGAAGGCCACGATGCCAAATGTGAGTATAACTGTGTAAACATTTACCGAGTTAACGCCTTGTGTGATCTGAAAATGGGTGGCAAACTATTTGCTTTTATATCTTTGTATGTGCAAGAAGTCTTTAGCGGGCAGTGTGTTTTGGCCACCACAGGCACTACATGCCGTGTCATTTGACTGTATGGAAATGTGAGCGCTTGCTTCTGTGGACATTCAGGTTGGCGCTCTCTAAGTTCCTCAATGGACTCGATGCAGGACTCAAGTCGCACCATGGGGGGTCTGAATGCCCGTCTGAAGGGCTTCTTGGAGCAGGTGAACAGGCTGCAGGAGGCCAACCAGCGGCTGGAGGCTCAGATCGCAGACTGGGGGGCCAGGAGCCCGCCACGCTCCCAGGACTGGACCCAGCAGGAACAGACTGTCAACGAGCTCCGTGCCCAGGTCATCATCTATTTGTTTGTGGTTTTTTATCAGATAGTTATATGAAAATGATTTGGACTTTTTAAAAGTGTTACAAATGTCCCTGCTCTTTGCAGCACCAAGATATGACAGTGTTGCTGCAGTGCTCTCTCCACTCCAGGTTTAATCATTATGCTGGCGTTATGATCCATTACATCAGCTCTAGGCCATATTGGTTGGCAGACAACAGGAGCAGGTGTGTGTAGTCACACAGCAAAGACTGCAGTCACAACAGAGACACAGCAGATTACCAGTGCCGCATGCAGCAAATTGTAAATGGCCTCAAGTACACGTTCACTTAAAGAGTGGAGAAAGTGGCTTAAGGGCTGAGGCCCAACCGCCTCAGGGCTGGAGCTTTCACTTTTCAACATTTTCCTTTATTTAGAACCACCATGTAACATTTAGGGGTGAGAATGGAAAATATGTTTTTCATTTGACATTAATGCCTTCCATGATCCTGGCAATCGCTGACATTCTTTATGAATTACTCTATTGTGTGCTGATTATTTTGATCTGTGATAGAAAAGTAGGTTGACACAGGTAATTTACATTTCAGTCTGATTACAGTGCGGATGAAAAGATAGTAGAGATAGATGTTTCTTTTGTCAAAGCAAAAGGCTGCTAAGCCTGCCTGCATGTGGCTAATCTTACTTAAAGGTGACCTATCATGCAAAATGCACTTTTGTACGTATTTTATACATGAATATGTGTCCCCGGTGTTCCAGGGAACTCACCAAGTGTCAGAAAACACAACCCTCTCTATTTTCTATTTTCCTCCAAAGCCAAATCTCTTAAAAAGGGGCTGCAACGGATCTGATACTGATCCAGATTTGAACACTTCTATGACGGCACAAAAGTGGCGCGACGGCTATTGGGCCAACTCCACCAATCAGGAGGAGACAGTCACGGACATTGCCGTTCGTAAGCGCTGGAGACGCTGTAGTACATATGCCAGGCCTGTAGATGGTGCTGTTCTCACAGAATCAGCCCATGCAAAGACAGTGTTGTTTGACAGTGTTGAGCAAAATGAGGAATGGCTAAAATGCATGATCTGTTTGGTATTTTGAAAAATAAAAAGTATAAATATGCCTTATATAGGTATGGTCCTACACTATATTATTCAAATACAGCATGATAGGTCCACTTTAAACATAGGGTTAGGGTTAGGGTTACGGATGTGACTGCTGCAGCAGTTTTGTTAAAACCAAAGACATCTTTTTGGGTAACATTGGTGACGTATTGTTGCATTGTATAGGGGCCATTTATTCCTCTCTTCCTTGACTTCTTGTTCATGTTTCTTGTTGCAACGGCGTACCCGCAGTTAGATGTCATTGTTTTGCAATGTGCAACTGTCAGATTCCGATCCCTAGTAACAACAACTCTTAAAACTCATTAAGTTGTTGCTGAAATGTGATACAAGGGCAAGGCCTGGCCTGGCGTGGCGTGGCATGGCCTGGCGTCTGTGAAAGGTGTACGGCAAATGGCTGTTGACTATTAGGGAGTTGTATTTACTATATTGACTCCAGTTGGTTAGGAGGATTTAGCAAATATTTTTTGATATGTTAAACCCTTTTCAAAACTGGACACTGAAAGAAAATGTATTTGTTCTGCGAAATTGTCTTTGTTTTTACAAGATTGTTTCCGTTCAAGTAATCCATAAGCATGTACTGTAAGTGCTGAAGGTTTTAAACTATTAGTCCATAAGGTGAAAGGTAACTCCACATCAAACAAAGCAGACCTGCCTGTCATGATAATGGACCAGAGCCAGAAATCTTTTATAACTTTAAAGGCCATTCCACTTGGTAGACCATTAACTCCAACAGTTATGGTGTTCTCAAATTATCTGACTAACTGATCTCTGGGTTTAACATCACTTTCTGCTCGAGTAAATGTCACTGACAGACGTTGTAATGACTTTTTTCATACTGCGTCACCCACCTCGTCTCCCAAGTTTAGCTGCTGTTCCCATGACTGTGACAGACACCAGAGCAAATAGCTAGTTTTATTGTTCCCTGATCCCAAAAATGCTTTCAAACTAACATCTAATTTAGAGCTTAGAAGTTTAAACCAGGAAGACTTAAGTGCTGATCCTGACTCACAAATAAAACATCTACATAGTGAATTTTTATGATATGAATGTTGTGGAAAATGCCATGTTATCTTTGGCTGCTGTTGGACATGGGTGTGTCTTCTTCTGACATGGTTGCACTCTTAAGAAAACAAAGGCAAGGCAAGGCAAGTTTATTTATATAGCACTTTTCAACACAAGACAATTCAAACTGCTTTACAAAAAAGTAAAGACATTAAGAAAATGGCATTTAAAATCAGTCATTAAAAAGCAAAGATAATCAAATAAACATTAAAAGAAAAAATACATGGATAAAAGTTACAGTGCAGTTTAAGATATGAATAGTTCAATTAAAAGCAGCGGAAACAGAAAAGTCTTCAGCCTGGATTTAAAAGTAGTAAGAGTTGCAGCGGACCTGCAGGTTTCTGGGAGTTTGTTCCAGATATTTGGAGCATAATAACTGAACGCTGCTTCTCCATGTCTAGTTCTGAGTCTGGTGACAGAAAGCTGACCAGTCCCTGAAGACCTGAGAGTTCTGGATGGTTCATAATTTAGCAGGAGGTCAGAAATGCATTTTGGTCCTAAACCATTCAGTGCTTTATAAACCAGCAGCAATATTTTGAAATCAATTATTTGACAGAAAGGAAGCCAGTGTAAAGACTTCAGAACTGGAGTGATGTGATCCACTTTCTTAGTGTTATTGAGGACTCGAGCAGCAGCGTTCTGAATTAGCTGCAGCTTTCTAATATATTTTTTAGTGAGACCTGCAAAGACACCATTACAGTAGTCCAGTCTACTGAAGGTAAAAGCATGGACAAGTTTTTCCAAATCCTGCTGTGACATTAGTCTTTTTATCCTATATATGTTCTTTAGGTGATAGTAGGCTGATTTAGTAATTGAGTCCATGACTACACCTAGATTTCTGGCTCTCTGTTGTTTTGAACATTGCAGACTGAAGCTCAGCGCTAACTTTTATACGTTCTGCCTTGGCTCCAAAAACTTTTGGACCGCTTTAATGACTACAGTTTTCAGGGCCTGTGGAAAAACAGTGAAGAGACTTGTTTACAGAGGGAATAAACGTGTGTAAGCATGTTTGTGTGTGTGTTATAAAAGTCAAGGACCTACCTTTTTCTACTTGGATTATGTACTTGGAATTAAGAATATATATGTCAAGCCTTAACAGAGAGAATCAAATTCAATTGGAAATAGTTGTAGATGTTCTTACTCACGTTTCTGCACAACTTTCAGTATCAGGTTGTCCATACAGGAAGATTATTCTTACCATGAATGTTCCTCGTTACACTTTAAACTTTAGTTTCCTGATCATTAAAACAAATATATATTTATTTTTAACCATTTATATATCTTGAATCTGATAATGTATTTTTTAAAACAGGTTAATAATTTAAAAGTATCAAATATGTTGTACTCAGGATTTACCAGTTTTGGGGATTATCGTATAATGGTATTACATATTCAAGATGAAAAAAGGTTGCTCTACACATGGGGTATTACGAGCAGGATTACAATCTTACTAAAGGGCCAATATGTAGAAATACATATTGTTTTTGCACTTTCCCTAATCTAATCTTGCCGTTTCTTTTCTCCATTGTTGTCAGGTTGGTAACCTGCTGATGGAGAATGCCAAGCTGGCATTACAGTCTGAAAGCATGAAATCCAGAGCTGCTGCCATCCAGGCCAGGTCAGCTGGATTTCACTCTACTTTTCCTGAAAGCTCTAACGCACCTCTCCTCATTCACTACAGCCTGGGGCTCATTGATTAGCCTATCAAGCATGTTCACTACCCCTTAAACATATGAAAGAGGACACATTGTTACGGGTGAGCGAAGCAAGCAGGACCCAAATGCAGATGACACTGAAAATACCTTTATTTCAAGGATACACGGACAAACAAAACACTCCCCGGTGAACACAGTCACAGACTAACGACGAACCAACAATGACAGACATAAAAAACAGAACTTAAATACACACAGGACTAATCAAGGAAACGAGAGACAGGTGAGGAGGGAGGAGAAAACACAGGGGCACCAGGTGAACACAATCAAGAAAACAGGTAGGAGGGAACAGGTAGGAGGGAACACACAGACAGGAAACCGGGGCCCTTTCTCATTTCTCTAAAGCCTCATCCCAATACCCCTCCTCGACTCCTCCTTTCCCTCACTCGCGTCCCTTCCTTGCATCTTAGCTCCGCCTCCGTAAGATGCGAGCAAGAGACACGAGGAGGTGAAGCCCAGGACAGAGGAGTCCTCAGGTATTAATTGGAATGTCCTCGTTCACTCAAACGTCACTCTTAAACAACGTCTGTTAATGATGACATGTGCACAGCTGTATCCCCTCTCATCGGGCTTAACCCTTTAGAACCGGCCCATTTCTGGTTAAATATTTATTTAAATGAATGAATCTTTCTCTTGTTAGTCAAGGAATTCAATGTATGATGGTTGGTCCTGCTTTTGTGTTCCGTTTGGTGTAAAATGTAGCCTACATTTAAATAAATATATCATTATAGTAATGTGAAAGCCTTTTAGAAAGGAATTGCACATATAAATTCCCACGGAGCTGTGAGCACTTATACATTTATGTGACGCTTTTCCACTCATCTTCCTAGTCGGTTTTCCTTTGTTGAAATCGACTAGCTGTGAAGGTGGGGCGGGCTTTATACGCGAGTAGTGAAAACACTTCCGCGTAGTCTGCTCGCGTGTATCCTCCCTTTCGTCTCCTCCCGCACCCCTCCTCCCTCACCCCTCCTCGACTCCTCAGTGTGCATTTCAGCTATTGGGACGTCCTTCAAAATGGCGTGTCTTGATTGATTTCCGGGTCAAGTCCCGGAGGAGAGGGAGTCGAGGAGGGTA